CCCTCCCGCACTCAGCGCAGTACTTGAACGGCTTGACCGGGGGCAGCTGAAGAAAATCGCCCGTAACCACGACTTGCACACCGCCGAAGGGCTTGTCGTCTCCGGGGAACCCGCGCGCGTATTTCATGCACTCGCTCATACGGTAGAAATGGTTGCTGTCAACCATGCTGATCTCGTCAATGATCAAGACGTCGGTCTCCTCCAGCCGCCTTCGCACAGGTTTTTGCCTCTTAGTTTTAGGCTTCAGTTCGTAAAGAGGACGTCGGTCGTCGTCCGGCTTCCAGCCCATGTAGCTCCACGTCGTTTTCCCTTGGATTTGGAGGGCCGCGATGCCTGTTGGGGCCACGACATCGACTCTTTTGCCTCTCTCTCTTAGCTCCGCGACAAAGGCCTTTAGCACGGTCGACTTGCCGCAGCCCGCGGGCCCCGTGTAGAACACATTTCGGCCGCTGAGTAGGAGGTTGACTAGGTTGGTCTGTTCACTGTTGAGCGTCACCGCGGGTTGCGTTTCCCTGAGAGGGTGCTCTGGACCTTCCAGGTTTTGGGGGTCGAGCGTTCCCCTGGGTTGCGTTTCCGAGAGTTGACCTGTTGGGTTTTGGGGGTCACCTCGCATGACGTTGATATAAATTTGCGAGTTCGTCAGCTGGGCCAGACTCTCGGCGGTAGTGGCAACTTGGTACGGCGGGTCGGCCGTCGTAGTCGAGACGCCTGACAGGGTTGGGTGGTCCGCGGCCATGTCGGAGTTTGAGTCGCTCGACGGATCTCTAAGATTGGGAGATGAAGAAGAAGCAGCGGTTCCCGACCAAGGCGGGTGGTCCGCAGGGGCGTTAAGGTCCGCATCGCCCCAAGGCTCGGTCGTGCCACCGCCCAAGCTGCGCGCTGATACGGCATCTGTTGTGCAACGCCTCTTGGGACGATGTGGCAGCGATTCTGCGGTCAGCAAAGACCCAGTCAAAGGATTGGCTCCCTCCGCAGGGTGTCCGGCCGACAGAGCCGCCTGATGGGACAATCTCTTGGCGGCTGCGAGACCCCGTTGGTGATGTGGGCTGCGTTCCACCTCGAGGTACAGTGGCTCCGGGCATGTCGTTTGCCGCGGCGGGTCGGGTCCGCCAGGCGGCGACGAGGTTGTGGATCGTGCATGACGCGCGTGCGCCATTTGGTGACTTTTCGCCGGGGATTCGACTGACTCTTCTCCACGTGGTTCGTGACTTGAGCGCGTCTTCCGTCCTCGTGGGCCAGACCTGAAAAACGCGAGACGTGGGGTTCTGGTAGCGCCGTGCGTTATCCAGGGCCCGAATCTGCCCGACAGGGCCGTCATAGACGGGCTGACAGGACGGAGGAAAGAGAGCATGGTGCTAAGAGATACCCATAGCCACTGAATCGGGGTAGACTGTGCGATATGGAGGCTTGTGGAGAACGAGGAAAAGACCACTTGGGTGAAGGTAAAAAAACAAAGAAAAGAGGTCTCTAAACCGGATTCGGGAGTCCCCCCCGCAAATTCAAGCAGTGGGTTGGATGGAGCCTTACCACCTGGCACCCACCCAGCCACCTGGGGTCCACCAATCAACGAGCCAGGATCAGAAAAATAAGCGGACAGAGTGTTTGCCGACATGCTGGGAGTGACGCCAACCCACAACCAATATCTCCGGCACCAAGCTTTGCATGGCGGCGTTGATCGCTTGCGGGAGGGGGGCGTCGTGGTAAGAGAGTTCAAGCAGAGAGCGGGGCAATTGGTCACTACCCTCCCAGGCGCCTACCACTCCGGATTCAACGTCACTCCCACTCAGGCCGAAGCGGTCAACTGGACGGATTCCACAGATCGGTCCGAGGAATATATCCCTTGCAACGCGGAATGCAATGATCACGACCCGATTACGTATGAGATAGCGTTCTCGAGCGATCAGCCAAGCGACCGGCCCCAGAACTCAACTTTCCTTGAAAAGGATGCAGGCGAAGAGCAGCACGCAGGTCAGGAGCAGCACGCCGGAGAGCAGCACACTGGCGACGAGGAGCACACGGACGAGCAAAACACAGGCGATGACCAGCAAACCAAAGTCGCAGGACCCCGGAGATTAGGAAGGAGGAAATCCGAAGGTACCTCCTATCCCGCAAGATTTGTCACTGGGAACAATGCGCAGCGAACCGCTACCCTGCGTAGTGCACAGCAAAAAGCACTGAGGGTGGCAAAAGACACAAGCGGAAAGCATTACGAGTGCGGCGAGCAGCAGGGCGAAACCGTCGAATCATAAAGGTTACGGAAAAGCAAACGCGCTGCTCCCCCAAATGAACCACCATCCGACGAGCCACAATCCAAGCGAAAGCCCCGTCCCGTAGCCATTATGGCCGAACATTTACGCGACGCAAACGCCATCGCACGGTTAAGGGGTCACATCAAAGCTTCGAAGGGAAATGGACGGCTTCCAGAGTTAGAGGTTAAGGAAGAAGATACAGTCCGCGCAGCAGTTGCATATTGCAAGATTGCGATTCAGGCTAAGCGGTCAGCTGGCTACTGTGGCCTAAGGTCATGGGTGGCATGGGCTTCAGCTAATAAGCTTATCAACCTTGAGAAGGAAAAGGCGAACAGAAAGCGCAACCCTGAAAATGTGCTTAAAAAAGCGCATGTAGAAGTCGCTACCTTAACATATGGTGCGTTCAAAAATCGCCTTTCAAAAGCAGGAAAATTGGAAAATTTGGGAGCATTTATGGCCATGCTTCCTTTCGTTGGACAACTGTACGACGGTATAGCACTTCGGGATTACCAAAGGGTTGGGCAAAACGAGATGGAACAGTTAAAGGAGCAGTCGGCGAGGGGTATTGGTTCACAATTGGCAGAGGTGGCGGACGAGTTTCTGGCAGCTTTGCGGGAAAGCAAGGCGTACCCCAGAAGGGCTTGGGAAGATGTCGCTGAAACAGAACTGGTGAAATTAACCCTGCAGCACCAAGTGGAGCTGCTTCAGCGCGCGTGGAGCTGCTTCAGCGCGCGTGGAGCTGCTTCAGCGCGCGTGAAGCTCAGAGTAGCGGCCGCACGGACAGCAGCGGCAGGATGAAGTAAGGAAAAAGATTGCAACAGCTTGGCTACTTTTTTCCCGAAGGCGTTAGGAGGCTGGCGCAGAATGACAATTCAATCTCATTCCTATTGGCTGTGTAATTAGTCAGCACGTCAGCCCAGGCTGACGTGCTGACTAACCAACGCTTGGTGGCATTTATCGGTCGATGCTTTGCTCGTCTCGAGGTCGAACCCAGCCGATTTTGGAGGCCCAACGACCCGTGTTCCGGCAGGCGGTACCCAGCACCCCCGCCGGCCTGGCACCCCGCTAGGAGACACACCTCGGTCAAGGCGGCTCATGACGGCGGTCGGCCCCTGGAGCGACGCACGCTACGGCGCACGCGGAGGGACGTGTCATTGCACGGCCGGCCCTCACTGGCGCTTGGGCCATGGCTGCAAGGATGGCCCTAAAGTCACCTGACCAAGGACCATTGGATGCCATACGATCTCTGTGCGCGCGGGTGTCGCAACGCGCAATTGTTTTTACTTCCTCAGTTTTAGATCGTGACAATAATGAAGGGTATACTGCAGCCTTGCCTCGGTTCCTACCGTTCCCGTTACAGGCGTTAAGGAAGAGTGAATGAAAGAGAAGATGTACAGAAGAAGCAAGAGAGGAGATAGGAAGCAACAGACGAAGCAAGAGAGGAGGCAGCAGCCAACAGGCAGCAGGAGGCATAAGCAGGCAGCGGCCCAATCACGTATCACATCTCCCACAGCCGCCCGTGGTCCTCTGTCTCCTGGCCGGCCGCAGTCTCACACGGCCGCGTCGGAACAATCAAGTGGATCCTCGAGAACGGTGCCGCCCGCAACCTTGGCGATTAATGGTTTACGGTCAATGTACTGTTCTCCAGATCCTTATCACCGTTACCTGCCTTTGCGCTCGCGCCGCGACCATGGTAAGTGATCGCCTGCTCGCTTCTCTCTTCCAACCTTTGCGCATTGCGTTTGCACACGTGCTAGCGGTCTGTTTAGCCGCCTCCTCTGCCGGACAAGTCCCCGTCTCTAGATTTCGATTACTTGTCTGACGAGGACGACATCCAGATTGACGAGCGCGCTTCCACTGCCCGTCCCGCTCCCTCGTCCTCGCGCACAAAGCCTACAAGTAACGGGCCGAATACCGTTGCCCTTGACGCGCACATGCTTAGGTATCTCGGACAGGTTGTGCAAGAAGGTTTGATGGAACCTTGCAAAGCGCGAGGAACGGTGTGCGGAGGATACATTATGATCGTTTGTGCTGTTTCTAAGGCGGGACTTGGCTGCACGGGTCCCCGCAGAACCAGTAATCACCTCAGACCGTCAAATTGGAACGATACAGGACACGCTTGACTGTCCAACCAGGTCGCTGGTTCCCCAGCCAAGCCAAGGGCGGCGCCACGTCGCTGCCAAAAATAGACTAGCGAGCTTGGAGGTTAGTCAAAGTATTGACACCACCCACCGCCACCACTTATGCTCATCCATTCGGATGTGGCCTTGGGCATCGATGCTGGACGGTTGTCGTCCGTGCTTGTGCTTGCACATGGAACAAGCCACCCACCACCGCAAATCGCATCGACACCGCCGCCCCCGTTACCGTTGCTTTGGTTCCTGTCAAAGCACTTGAGAAAAAGGGCTTTGAAAATTGCTACAGCCCGAGAGACCTAGCACGGGTGTCCATGGTAGGCCCCGCCCCGCGAGACCGAGCCCGCGCGTGCTGCCGCTTCTGCCGCTTCCGCCACTGTTTGTTTCATGGCGACCTGCCACCGGCCCAAACATCCAAAAAGCCGCTGACCCGATCGCCATCCTCGCCGGCCATCCAGTCTCGACACCAACCCCTCGCGACAGGCTCCGTCGGCGCACCCTCGCTCTAACATGCCGCGATCGCCCCCGCCGGCTGCCGATGTTGCCGCCGCCAAGCAGTATCTCGGGGCCATGGGAGGAGGCGCCAGCCAGCATGGATAACAACCCTCGCACGAAAAAGCAAACTGTCAATCAAGAACCACAGCCGGGTCTGCCTCCGCAACTCCAGCCCCACTCAGCCAACGTTCCGCAACCCCCGTCGGCTGGGTAAGCGCTCTCCACCCCGCCTTGCGACTTGCTCCTTTTCCCCCATCTCTAAAACGCCCCGGCCGCGTTCGCGACCGCGTCCGATGCCCACGGACCGGGTTGTCCTATTCACGTAGTATTTCGCTGACCGTGCACCCAGCCCCAATGTTCTTCCATCCCCAGCACCTAGCGACGAACCGAGCCCCACGGCCGCGATCCCGCAAGACAGCGCAAACCAGAACCCGCCATCGGACGACGCGCCACAGAGCATGGAAAGGTCCGGTCCGGCCCCGGATGCCTCCCATAGAATACCGGTGACCGAGGCCAGGACAAGCGTCGCGGCTGGCTTTATCGACGATCAGGCTCAGAACATCCGACGTGTCAGCCCAGCGAGGCCAGCGCCCATGCTCATCTTGGATACCTCGAGGTTCCAGAGCCCGCCAGTAGCTGCCCACGCACCCGGTCCGTCTCCCGCCCCCGTCCACGCCGCGTTCCCACCGCCGCCTCAACAACATATGTCGCCAAACGGGGCCTCGACCAACACTCCGGCATCTGCGGCGCCTTTGGGGCCGAGGACCCCGGGACAATCTCCTCAGGTGCAGGCCGGTAACTTGCCCAAAAGAAGGCGTATTGAGTGAGTTAACAAAAGCACCCGGACTTCAGGAGCGCGCGCCGCCTGCTACTCTGCTGGCTCTGCTGGTGCAACAATGTATTCGCACTCGGTCTGTTAGCTGCCTGTTTGCTAAAGCCTGGGCCAATTTTAACAGGCCAGCCCCGAGTCCCAATGGTGGGACTACGGTCGCCCTCCAGAATCACCTCTCGACGATCTTCCGGTACATGACCCAAAGTCTCGACCGCTCGAGGATGAGGTTGGTGACTGATGCGCACACCAAAGGCGATTTCACCTTCCTCCACATCCACCAAACATTTTGCGCCTGGTCGCGAGGCGAACTGGCCCCTCTCTCGGACGCGTGCAGGATACAACGATCGGTCATCGACAAAACATTTGGGATACTGGCGAAGATCCTTGAAGACAACCAGAACTTCGCGCCGGCCAGTCTCCAATTCTTTGCCTCTTTTCCCGGACCCCTAGCGTCAGCCATCACAGAGCCATGGGCTAAATTTGTCAATAAACTGGCCATCAACTGGGAGTCAATGGTTCACGTGGCTTTTTCGCAAAAACGTCCCCTGCTGGTGAGCGAAATGATCTGCTTTTTTGGGTGTCGATCTGCCACCATGCAGAAGCTCCTGTTTACCGCGAATAGGAGAAGCCTCGGCGTCCTAGATGACCGGGTGGGCGAGGCAATGGATGTTGTGTTTGCCCAGGATCAGCAGGAAGCCATGAGTTCTCCGGACTTGCAAGTTGATAGCAGCTACAGCTGGCAGTATCTCGAAGCCAGGAGCCAGGGGGTGGTTAACCAGTATCGTGCCTGGGTGATGTCCGTGAGGCGCCCGGTTCCCGGCCAGAACGGACCGATCTCTGGGACTTCTTGGCATCCCCCGCTGACCGTCAGCTCGCCTCAATTCTCTCAATCCCCGACAGCATTCAGCGCGCCGCCCCAGCAACCCCAGCCAACCCAGCCAACAGCGCATCCCGGGCAAATGCACTGGCGGAACGGACAACTGTCGGCCACGAGCCCAGTCGTCGAAAATCTCCGTCACCCCGCTTACGCGACACAGGCACAAGGGCTGCCGCAAACGATAAGCCCTGGCGCTCAAGGCGGCGTGTATTCAAACGCTCCGCGACGGCAGTCCTCTGAACCGACACCGCGCCATTTCCCCGGGGGGCAATCGTTTCAACCACAAAGCTATGCAACGGTCCCTGCTGCCCA